ACACTCCCCCTCCGTGACGGAGTGAACTCCGTGGAGTGACACTCGCAGCTCAATGAGGCTCCCTCCTGTCAGATGGAGGGAGTAAATACAGCGGCAAGCTTTGGGACAAACTCCCCTCTCTCCGGCAGAAACAGGAAATGCCGTAACTGTATGTAACAACGGTTTCAAATCAGCATCTCTTGGACAAAAAATTAAAATGAATAACTCAAATAAAACTCCAAACATCTTTAACCTGTTAAGCACCAAGCCTGTTTTTCATGTTTCAGGCTCGAAAATGACATGCCCAAAACAAATGACTACAACTTAACTTCTAAAAGGGTTATATGAATAATTTCTTTTATCAAAGCAAGGTTACATCTGTGAGTTGGATGTAGAAGTGTCAGAATCAATATAGATGTTTTTTATTTTAAAGAAAATTCAGATTTTACATAGTAAAAAACTGTAAATTATAGTGTCCGTCCAAAAAGACTAAAAGCTTTAGGAATCCAAAGTACAACATATAATAAGTACCCTGTATCAAGATTGATGCAAAACAAGTGACATTTGACCTTTTTAGAGAGGTTTAGCCAAAACCACTCCACCTCTGAGAGGATTTGGGTGAAAATGTTTTTTTTCCCATATCTCTGGCCCCCCTTGCTCGATTTGGATGGTTGACACCTCTTTCTGACCGTTAGAGCCAATAGAATCGAAGGGGGAGGCCCCCACACACACTCGTTTTGAAAACAAACGGTGGGGGCTTCGCGCATGTAATTTCGCAGCAGAGTGGACCGATCTCTCGCTCTGACATTTGGAAACGAAAAAGCAGTTTTATTGCTTATGGATTATCAGAAATCATTTGAAAGAGGACACAGACACATTGGATTAACCTATGGATTAACTGCAGCATCGTTTTTTTATCGTTTTAATGCCATTGAAGACCAGTTTTGACCAAGGTAAGCCATGTTAGCGTTTCTAGCTACCTAGCTCCACATGTTCTGATATACGCTTTCGTTTATAGCGTCGCAAATGTTTATCACTGAGTGTTGAGGTGGGCACCAAACGATTCTGTGTCTCCAGGAGATGCTAATCGAGGGGTTGGCTGTGCATCTAGGATTAGTAATAAGGGAGTTATGAGTGAGTTTAGGTGCAGTTATAGGTTACATTTTTCGCTCGTGGCTAATTCAGAGGCTGAGTGTTAGCATTGTGTTTTTTTTTTTGAAAAAAAAATTAAAAAGATCAGTTAGCTGAGTTTCTTCCCGTTACATGGATATAAAACATTCATAGTTTATTAAATATTAAGATTCCTTAGACGTTGTTTCCTGCAAATGACGCGTTTATCCGCCCGGTACCGGGGGGGCGGTGCGTAACAGGTTAATTGTGTTACTTTTTTGTAAAGCTCTTTTAGTTTTAAACCTGATTTTTATAAGCTTCTTAGTTTTTGCAACAATCTGTAAATATACACAACTTTATAATAAAATGCACTCCATGTCTGGTCGTCGTCTCGTAATGTCTATGATACCTGCCTCGTCTATGCTCGTCTATGCTTGTCCATGTCACCTGCCTGTTCCCGTCTGTATGTTTGTTCTTGTCGTGCTCCCCGGTTTTGTTTTTGTTAAGTAGTTTCTTGTTTTTCCCTGTCTTCGGCTTTTCTGCCACAAAAGCAGCAAAGAAGACTTCCCGCGCATGGTTGCCATGGTTGCCCTTCTGTTTATTCTCCGCTGTGGACGCTCTGGCTCTTTTTCTCCCTCCCCGAGGCAAGTGTGTGCTCCTGCTGTAAATCTCTCCGGTTTGCCACCAGCAGATGAAAAACACCCACCTCTCCGCCTCTTCCAAGGGACGAGGGGACCGTGCGGCAGAGTTTCAGTTAGATTTTTTGTTTTTCGCCGGTCAACATGTCCGTTAAAGTTTAAATCTCCCGGACAAAATTAGAAAAGTGCCGGTCAAAGGTCTTCTTTGTTATTTATTGAGCTTTAAAACAAATGAATAACGACTCTATATAATAATATAAGAATAAAAAACGGAGCCTCTCTTTTCCTCCCCCTCTTCTGACAGCCCAGCAGCTGATCTCTGAGCAGGAGAGGTGGGGAGAGGCGGGGCTATTGCGTCATCGTTATCAGGACATGATCGTATAGGCGTAAACACGGAGCCGTTTGCCCCCCCAGAGCGTTTCGTTTGCAGATCTACCCACCTAGGGACCCGTTATCGTTATCGTTTTCTGCGTTTCGGTGTGGCCGAACCGTCTATCTGATAGAGAACTGTAGCAGATACGACCGTTATCGTCCTCGTGTGGCAAGCACCTTAGTGTGAAATAAATAAAAAGAGGCAGACAGAAAGAGATGGGAACCACAAAGAGAATGAGAAATGTGTTTTTTGTGTAAGGGAATTTTTAAGTGTGTGTCGGTGGAGCAGAGGAAGAAGGAGTGTGTTGATGGAGAGATCAAAGGTAGAGCAGGCTTCAGCTCGCAGGAAGCCACAGACTCTGTTTGGATTTATTTGGAGTCTGTTGAAGCTCAAACAGGGAGCAGAGCAGATTCATGTCATCTTTCTGTTTCATTTGTGTCTTTCCCTTTTTGAAGACTCATCACTGAGTGTTTGTAGTGGACCTTTTTAGTTGGGTTGTATGTCTGTGTTGAGCTTCAGGATGCAACCCAGTCTCACAGAAGTTCCTGAAATGGTGTTTTGATTGGTGTGGATGTACAGATGTTCAGTTTTTTTTAGGCAAGAATAACTATTTTCAAAATAATGTTTTTCAATTGGAAGAACCCCTATGCCTGCACTGTCTTTTTGTCACGAGAGTAGGGTCTCAGGAGACTGAAGCTGTTTTGTTTTTCCGGATTGCTGGATTCAAGTAATTTTGAGTGATTTGCACGGTGGCTCAGGGGATAGCGCGTGACAGCGACCTAAAACACTTCCATTAGGAGAAACGCGCTGCAGTTTCAAAAACAATGCAAATTTAAAAACACAAATGGGCCAAAAGACAAGAATCATCTTCACCAACTTGACCAAACATGCGCAGTGTTAACTAAAAATAGTGTTATATTATTTTAACAATGTGATCGCATGACTCCTCGCGGTATAATTGCAGATCAGCTGTAGGCTAGCTAAGGTGGCCAACCTAGTCATTTCAAATATACTGACAAAACACTTACTGTTATGAAACCGACAGTGACAGATTATGAACTTTATCATCAGCAAGTGCGCCTGTCCCAGTTGTGTGTGTCACCTTTTAATGTCCCCTGGTTACCGTTGTTTTGAGCTTCTTGCAGCGTTTATTATTTGCAGTGTTTTGTGTTGGCAGCGGTTTGTTCTCTCACTAAAACTTTGCAGCACTGTTAGAAGACGCTGCATATTTTTTTTCAGGTTGGTGAATGTTTTTAAACGCTGCCCATGTGTTAAGATGATGAAGATGTTTCTTCTTTGGCATATGTTTTGGCCCATTTGTGCTTTTATATATGAAACATTTCTGGAGCTGCAGTGCGTTTCTCCTATTGGAAGTGTTTGGGCCCTGTCAGCCACTGTAGATGTTTCTGTGTGTGTCCTTCTACAATGTTGGCTTTTTTAATAATTGTGATCAAGGTGTTATGGCATCTGTGGCGGTGGCTCCGACGTACACTTTTTGCAATGATATCAGACTACATCTGCATATTATTTATCATCCTACATGGCTGTAGTTGTTTTTAGGACAAGGGTTGAGAGGGAGCTGTAATTACATGCTACTGACTGTTGGAATAAACAATAACTATGTCAAATGATTTCCAGGGGGGAAAACTAGGCTGCAATTCAGTTTTTTTATCGTGGAAACAAATGACATTGCCCACTTGAGCAAGTTGTTATATTCATATGGTATGAGCTGTAATTTAGAATTTGCTACATTGTCATAAAGGTCAGAGGTTAGGATGATGAAAACTGGAAGTATAACGGGCCGTCTCCACGGCAGCGTTAAAAAATCTTGAAACGCTTCTGCCCATTCACTTTGAATGGGGTGACGTCACTTTTTTTCGCTTTCGCCGAAATGCATTGTGGGCAGGCGAGCGGAGATTCTCAGGATTTTCAAGATCCAAAGTTGAACAATGTTCAACTTTTGAGGCTGAGGTGGAAGCGTCAGCCAATCAAATCCCGTGTACGCAAATCTGACAGTTCAAGCTCTAGCCAATCAAACGGCGTGTATGCTGGGAGAGAAATACCGCAGGTCATTTCCTCATATTCCAAAAAATGGAGGAGAAATTAGCGGTAGCGAATCAATCACCCGGTGCTTTATGACCAGACCTACCGGGATATAAACCGGAGGAGCCAGGCATGGAGGGAGGTGGCAGAGACAGTGGTAGGTTTTCGCCTGTTTTGGGGAGTTTATATCCAGTTTACTTCGGGCTTTTTTGCTTCGTATGTCGCGGGCGGGAGATTCATGTGATTGGTTGCTCGCAAAAAATCCTCAAGCTTCAGATACGCCCACCTCCAAGATTTTTTTAACGCTGCCGTGGAGACGGCCCGTAAGAGCTTCATTCTGCTGTTCATGACAAATCTGATATACAGTAAGACCTAAGGGGAGACATCCCTTGTTATTGACTAATAGATTTTACCATGTAATTCCCTCAGTGACATTAAGGCAATTATTTTCAAACCAAATACCTGAACAATAGATAAAGCCAGGTCTTTGTGATTTAAATCAGTCATCCCATAAGTAAAAATAAATAAAACTGGTGAGGTTGGTGTAAGTGAAGATCTATGAAGATAAAAATAAACATCTTTTTAAACGGCATTCATGTACTGTAAAATTCTAAACAGTTTGTAAGACACTAACAGCCGATGGGGAAATAAAAATATGTTGCACATAAAAAAAAAAAAAAAGGTAATACAAAAAAAGGAAATATTTATTTATTTGAGTTCTTTGACTTGTCTAAAAGAGGACATTTGGAAGCTAAATAACTCAAAATCTCCAGAGCATGAACGTGTTTCCCCTGAGAGTGTCCCCCTAAGGACGGTGTGTCTCACCCTCACCTGGTGATGTTCTCTCTGGACTGCAGAGCAGCTGAAGGCTCCGCTGGAGGAATACGTCAACAAGCGCTACCCCGGCCTGGTGAAGATTGTCAGGAACCAGAAGAGGGAGGGTCTGATCCGGGCCCGGCTGGAGGGCTGGAAGGTGGCCACCGGAGAGGTGACCGGGTTCTTCGACGCACATGTGGAGTTCACCCCGTCCTGGTGAGTAATCTGGCATCCCCTTCTTCCTTTTCAGGGAAAATGAAGCAGACCCAATAGTGTACAACCTATTGGATTACACATCAGGATAACAGCAATAACAATCATACACTAAACGTATAAAACAGACACCGGCTTTAACAGAATCACGAAGGAGACGACAAGGTTTAGCAGGAGCAGCATGAAGCCAACACACAAAAAGCAATTTCACACCTGAGAGGTTTTAAGATAAGCAGAGAAGGGACCGTAGGACTTATATCCCATCAAATCAAAAACATAAAGCTAGCGATAAAAGAGGAAATTGCCCAGAAGCCTTATCATAAAAGTACATTATAAGGAATCATTTCAACACATTAAACAGACGTGAAGGCTAGACAACATTTGTGCAACCTCGCGCTGATAGTTGTTTCTAGGCCTCCTTGTTTTACAGCTCAGTGTGTACTTTCAAGTATATACACAACCCAGTTCACTGGGCATAGACAGACACGTGCCCTCCGGAGCTGCACTGAGCCCAATCACATGGAATTACTCATAAAGTCAATTTGAGGGAGCTTCTAACTGAAGTGGGTGAGAGAGGGGAGATCTGAGGAGAGGCTCAGCGCTGTCTGTCTTTTAGTGTGTGTGTATGATGTGTGTATGATGTGTGTATGATGTGTGTGTGTATGATGTGTGTATGATGTGTGTATGATGTGTGTGTGTATGATGTGTGTATGATGTGTGTATGATGTGTGTATGATGTGTGTACTCCGTCCTCAGGGCCGAGCCGGTTCTGGCCAGAATCAAAGAGGACCACACAAGGATTATCCTGCCGTCCATCGACAACATCAAGCACGACACGTTCGAGTTGGAGCGCTATGAGAACTCGGGCCACGGCTACAACTGGGAGCTGTGGTGCATGTACATCAACCCCCCCAAACAGTGGTGGGACGAGGGGGACACATCGGCTCCCATCAGGTAGGCAGAACACATTCATGTCAACATAAAGTGGATAAAGCCTTCACAAACAAACCGGAGAGAAATCTTTTGATTTACTCTTGATGATTTTCTTTTTTCTCTTAAATTCTTTCATTTGAGTTAGACAGAGTTTATATTAGTGTGTGCAGTTCCGTCTATGCAGTGATCCATGTTTTTCCCCCAGAATTATAACCACAAACTAATTCATTATGATTATCATAACAAAGATCCAGTGTTTGGAAGAATCTGATGATTGTATGCAGTTCATGTGTCTGGACATTATCATCCTATCATTCCCTTGGGATAAGTCAAGGAAATAAAAGGGGAAATTGTCCTTTAAACTGCGAATAGTATTTTTATAATCTCATATTTCACCCAGGTATTTGTTCAGTGTTGGATTCAGAATAACTTGAACTGTTAATAGATCTTTGTTTGTCGTCAGCCTCAAATGTTCTTTTATGTTTTTTCTTTTTCCTATCTATGGAAGTATTTCTATAATCTTTAAATAGGTATAAAGGCTTTTGTTTGTGGAAATCATGACAATGTTCATATCACACAATGTTTTAGCTTTTTTAAAGTTGATTTTCTTTTAAAAAGGTGTCCTTGATGATCATGAACTTTATTGGTTTTCTTGCCTTCTAACTTGGTTATGTCTAAACAAATATAGTAAAAAAGTAACTCCCATTCACACATGCAGAGAAACATGCAGATTCACACATTTAAACATGCGTGCAAACTGTTCAAACATCATGCAAAACTACATTCAAAAAGAAAGAATGCAGACAAAGGTTCAGAATTACATTCACAAAACCACATCTCATAAATGAGGTGTTAATGTTCACTTGTTTTCCTCATGGCAGGACTCCTGCCATGATTGGCTGCTCCTTCGTGGCCAATCGCAACTACTTTGGCGAGCTGGGCCTACTCGACTCCGGCATGGACATCTACGGAGGAGAGAACATCGAGCTGGGCATCAGGGTGAGTGTGTCGCCCAGTTTCCTCTTGTTCCAGCTCTCTGTACCCCAGAGTTCCCGTTAGAATATTTTTTTGCCGGTCAACATGTCCGTTAAAGTTGAAATCTTCCGGACAAAATTAGATAAGTGCCGGTTAAAGGTCTTCTTTGTTATTTATTGAGCTTTAAAACAAATTGATATGATTCGACATTAAACAAACTAATTATAGTAGATTAACTACATTATTCAAAAGTGTACAGTAATTTACAAAAACGCGGGAATAATAAACGGAGCGCTCTCTCCTTCTCCTGACAGCCCGTCAGTATCATGCAGCTCGCGGATCCAGTAATGAGTGACCCGACAGTAAAACTAAACATATCTATAACTAGTTTAGGTAGTTTGAGAGGTAATTAAAATAGCTACGTGTGATTTTCTAACCTGAAGTGTGTTTTGCTCTGCTCGCCGCTGCAGGGGATCATGCAGAGCTGCGTGTCGACTCGTCAGCAGCAGCCGATCTCTCTCTCCTGTCAGATTAGACTTTACTCGCATTTATGTCCATATCGATCAGATCTAGCTAGTTCTAGCTAATGATATGACTACCTGCTTGTTAAAAGACACCTAAACAATAAGCGTCGCTATGCAACCGGATGAGGCCACAAAGTATAGCGCAGCATTATGCATTTGTTTACATGCCCACCGGAACCCCGAGGCATTACCAACAGATCAACGCACAATCAACCCATACAGGACATCTCTTTCTCCACATTAAGTGTTAGACATTAGAATAGACTATTCTTGTCTGTCACATACTCTTTTGTCTGTCACATACTATTCTTGTCTGTCACATAAGTGGCGCAACTGATGCGGTATTGCGCTAAGGGAAAATTATTTTGACCGGACATTTTGACCGGAGAGATTTAGATTTGCCGGACTTCAGCATATTTTACCGGTCATTGTCCGGTAATTACCGGCTAACGGGAACTCTGCTACCCTGTAGGTTAGAGTGGAGCAGCGGCCTGTCGCGTGGCCCCGCTGATGAATGAGGTCCATTAGGAGTCCTGGAGGACCGGGCCCCTGTGTGCACCCCCCAGTAGGGCAATGCAGATAAATGGGTCACATAGAGGGAAGGTTGGACAGTTGTTGTACATTTTTAGAGATAGGCAGTGCAAAGACATGCATGATAATCTCTCCAATATTTAAAACCATCAAAATACATGTAGACATCGGGGGGTTCGTCCAACAATTTCATAATTTCTTTATTTTTATTTTACCAGGAGAAGTCTCATTTAGATTTGAGAAATCTCTTTTGCATGAGAGCCCTGGCCAAGATAGGCAGCAGCACAGTTCAGAACATGAACAACAAAGGCAAGGCTAGTTTATAGCACCTTTCAACACAAGGCAATTTAAAGTGCTTTACAAAAATGAAAGACATTAAGAGCATTAAGAAATAGTGCAGCGGAAACACATTGTAAAATGGCATTTAAAAACGGTCATTATCAAGCAAAGAAAATAAACATTAAAAAAGACATGAATAAAAGTTACAATGAAGTGTAAGATGTGAATAGTTCAATTAAAAGCAGCGACAAAAAGAAAAGCCTTCAGCCTGGATTTAAAAGTAGTAACGGACCGTCTACACAGCAGCGTTAAAAAAATCTTGGAGGTGGGCGTATCTGAAGCTTGAGGATTTTTTGCGAGCAAGGCACGAACAACCAATCACATGAATCTCCCGCCCGCGACATACGAAGCAAAAAAGTTTGAAGTAAACTGGATATAAACTCCCCAAACAGGCGAAAACCTACCACTGTCTCTGCCACCTCCCTCCATGCCTGGCTCCTCCGGTTTATATCCCGGTAGGTAAATAGGGACTGGTCATAAAGCACCGGGTGATTCCCTACCGCTAATTTCTCCTCCATTTTTTGGAATATGAGGAAATGACCTGTGGTATGTCTCTCCCAGCATACACGCCGTTTGATTGGCTAGAGCTTGAACTGTCAGATTTGCGTACACGGGATTTGATTGGCTGACGCTTCCACTTCAGCCTCAAAAGTTGAACATTGTTCAACTTTGAATCCTGAAAATCCTGAAAATCTCCGCTCGCCTGCCCACAATGCAATTCGGCGAAAAGTGAGGGAAAGTGACGTCACCCCATTCAAAGTGAATGGGCAGAAGCGTTCCAAGATTTTTTTAACGCTGCTGTGTAGACGGTCTTATTGTAAAGTGGTACCCAGCTTTCTAATAGATGTTTTAGTGAGACCTGTAAAGACACCACTACAGTAGTCGAGTCTACTGAAGATAAAAGCATGGACACGTTTTTCCAAGTCCTGCTGTGACATTAGTCTTTTAAACCTAGATATATTCATAGTAGGCTGACTTGGTAACTGTTTTAATGTGACTGTTGAAACTCAGGTCAGAGTCCATGACTACACCTAGAGTTCTGGCTTCATCTGTTGTTTTGAACATTGCAGACTGAAGGTCAGCGCTGACTTTTATTCGTTCTGCCTTGGCTCCAAAAACCATTACCTCAGTTTTATCTTTGTTTAATTGGAGAAAGTTCTGACACATCCAGTCATTGATTTGTTCAATGCACTTACTCAGTGTTTGAATTGGAGCATAGTCTCCTGGTGAAATGGTTATGTAAATGTGGGTGTCATCCGCATAGCTTTGGTAACTTGTTTTGTTGCTTTTCATTATCTGAGCCAGTGGTAGCACGTCATCATTTTCCCAATATGGCGGCAGGCAGTTCTGGCGCAGTGGCAGTAATCTATCTCTGTATGATTGCCATAAATCTCAAACCTCTGTGTAGCTACACCACTCATCTTGCCCCCATGGTAAAACAACATGTTGAGGATACATCATTATCTGCACCAGCAACATCGTTGAATATCAAGCACTTCGGCCATGGTCGGCATATTATCTACAGTTCATTCATCTGGCACTCCTGGCAGACTCTCTCAAACAAAAAAAGGGTCTAAAACGAAAAGAGGAGAATATTGGGCTATTGGCTGTGTCTCTTGCTCTCGGGAGATATCCACCCGTGTCCGGGTCCCGGCGTCGTTTCCATCAACCTGACGGCTGCCGACCTAGCAGCAGGACCTCTACCCACACCGTCGGAGGACTACGGGTCCACGCCGAGGGCTAGCGGCCTAGCAGCGGAGATTCTCGCACCACCGGACACCACCGGACACCCCCGGACACCACCGGACACCACCGGACTGGCTTCAGAAGAGGCCGGCTAGCTGAACAGCTAGCTCTGCCGGCGGGTCTCTGTGGTTTCGCGCTGACGGCTGCTGGCCTAGCAGCAGGACCAACATCCACACCATCGGAGGACTGGGGGCCCGCACCGAGGGCTAAAAGCACAGCAGCGGAGAACCATGCATCACCGGCTGGCTGCACACAAGGCCGGCTAGCAAAACAGCTAGCTCGGCCGGAGGATCTCTGTGGGCCTAGCATCTGGACCAACATCCACACCATCGGAGGACTGCGGGACCGCGCCGATGGCTAGCAGCCTAGCGGCAGAGATCCATAAAACACCAGCTAGCTTTGACTGCTCCACTGTCAACAACTGCACCGAGGTAAAGCCTAGAAATCCTGTATTTAAAAAACACTGTTGCACAAAAATGTTTCAAACAGTGAATCAAGCTAAAATAGTGTGGGATCCTCGGTGCAAGCCGAAGGGACTATTCAGTGGACATTTACATTTCCGCAGCATCTGCAATAAACATGAACAGCTAGAACATCTCCTCCTTGAGTCCAATATTGACTGTTTGGAAATATCGGAATCTTGGCTAAAACAGTCGTCACCATCTTCTATTGTATCTATGTCAGGATATAATGTGTTTAGGAAGGACAGACTGAAGGGAAAAGGAGGGGGGGGTGTTGCTTTATGTGAGGAATACCTTTACTTGTAGGGAGATTGCTCTTCCAGCTAATATTGAGTTTGATTGTGTTGGTGTGGAAATCACAGGAAATGTCCCTCACCATGATTTGCCTGTATCGACAACCCACCGCTAAGGTGGATTTCTATGACCAGGTCAAACTCATGCTGAATTCCTGTGACTCCAACAAAGAGCTAATTATTCTAGGAGACTTTAATATCAACTGGAATGACAAACAAAATAGAAAGAGCTTAAAACGGATCACGGATAAACACAACTTAATACAACTAATGGATCAACCGACTAGAATAACCAAAACCTCAAAGACTATGATAGATTTATTATTTACAAACAAAGCTGACAGAATAGTTAAAACCTACAACTTCCTGACTGGTCTTTCTGACCATAATCTTGTTCTTTTTACCAGGAAACTCACAAAAAAAAGGTTAATGGCCACACCTAAAACCCCTGCCTTCGGTTCTCGCTTCATCCCCAAAAACCTGCAACAACATTTTATGGATGCAGTGAAAATGATTGATTGGGGAGACACTCTGTCCTCTGAAGGCATTGGTGAAAACAGTAATCTGTTTATATCTAAAATTAACGATGCAATGTCTTCCTTCTCAAGGAGAGGGTGCCTTAGGGACAGGAAGGAACATCATCTTCCCTGGCTGAATCTACAATGCAGGAATCTAATGAAATCTAGAGACCAACTATTAAAGCAGAGCTTGAAATCCGGACTATCCACTGATGGACAGAAATTCACTCATGCTCGTAACAAGGTAACACAAACAATAAGACAGGCCAAAGCTAACTTTTTCATCAACATAATTGAAGGTGCGAAAGGTAACGGTAAAAAAGTTTGGCAAATCCTAAATAAACTATTAGGTAAACATACCAAACAGGAAAATAATGTACTAGAATAAAAAATCAATGATGCCCTGATAAAAGACCCTGCAGTGTTGGCCAGCTCTCTCAATGAGTATTTCATAAATAGTGCTCTGGACATTACAAAGCTCTTCCCGCCATCTGAGGTCTCACCTAGCCCGACTGTGGATACACCCCCCGGTTTTGACCTGGAGGAAATCACAGAGGTGGAGGTAAAAAATATAATCTTAGGGTTAAGAGGTTCTAAGGCTAGGGATGCAGATGATTTCGACACCAACTTCATAAAGACAAATATTGACAGTCTAATAAAACCAATTAGTATGCTTGTAAATCTATCTATTAGCACGAGGGAAGTTCTATCATCCTGGAAGGTGGCCACGGTGACACCGATTTTTAAATCTGGGGATAAGGCAATAATGTCCAATTATAGACCAATCAGCATCCTCCCCTGTGTCTCTAAGATAGCTGAGAAATGGGTGTCAAAACTAATCACCAACCATTTAGATAAAGGCTTCGCTCCACTCCACCCAATGCAGTTTGGTTTTCGTGCTCCACTGAGACAGCTAACTGTGTCTTTGTGGAAAAGGTTAAATCTATGTTGGACACGAGCCCATATGTAGGTGCTGTCTTCCTTGATCTCAGGAAGGCATTTGACACTGTTGACCACCAAGTGCTCCTTACAAAGCTGACGTATTTCAATTTTTCGGCAGATTCAATACAGTGGGTTGAGTCTTACTTATTGAACAGAAAACAGTGTGTTTTGGTCAACGGAGCCAAATCCCCCTACCTTGTGAACCCTGTTGGGGTTCCACAAGGTTCCATTCTTGGACCATTACTGTTTTCACTGTACATTAATGACTTGCCTAATGTATGTCCTGAGTTGAATGTGCAAATGTATGCCGATGATGCGGTCATCTTTGTATGGGAAAAACACTGAAATTATCTCATCTTGTCTCTTTAATGCTTTGGACAAAGTTCAACACTGGCTGAACAACATTTGCTTACAGTTAAATGCAAAAAAAACAGTATGCATGATGTTCAGTAAACGACCAGTCAAAATCGAAGGATCCAATGGGTTCTTAAACGGAGCAGAAATAGAACTAGTCCCCCACTTCAAGTATCTTGGAGTCATAATGGACTCAAACTTGACTTTTAAGAAACATATTAAGAAAGTATCCAATACCATTCAATTCAACTTGCAAAATGTTAAACAAATTAGACCTCTCTTAACTGTCAATGCTGCAAAGTCATACCTCCACTGTATGATTCTATCCCACATTGAATACTGTTTGACAAACTGGTCGTTTGCTTGTGCCACAAACCTGAAACCCATAGAACAGCTGTACAAGAGAGCTATCAAGGTTTTTGACAGAAAGCCTTATTCATACCACCACTGTACCATCCTTGAGAAACACCATTTCTTGAGTTTTGACAATTTAAAGTCTTTTAAAAGTATGTGTTTTTTTTATAAATGTTTACATGGACTGCCCCCCCCCCCTTAGGGGAATTCATCCACAAAAAACACACTGTACGCTGCACTAGGTCAGAAACCAGAGGAGACTGTGAAGTCCACCACAGACGGACCACTTTCTGTCAAAATGTTCTATCAATTAAGGGCAGCTCTTTGTGGAACAGCCTCCCTACTGAGATACGGGATTGTCCCACTTTGAACAGTTTTAAAGGTCAACTAAAAGAATGGTTGAGAAACAAACAAACGTGCAATCACCGCTAAATGCACTTTAACACAGGGGTATCTCCTCTGGCACTTTATGTAGCTCTTTTATCTTCTCCTGCACTTTATATGGTAGCTGCTACATTTTACTGCCATGTGGTAAATGCTTGTATATGCTGCTCATGCTCTTTCTGCACATCATGTATTTATTTTGCTATGTATATAAATGTCATGTTCTTAAATATTGTGTGTGAGGGACTACGGATGGAAATTAGCTCAAAGCTAAAATCCGGCATGTTTACGTTTTAAAGCATTATTTGTTTTAAATGTTCATCAATGTGCACTGTCCCTCTTCAAATAAACAATTAAATGAAATGAAATGTAGATGTTAAAGAGAAGAGGCCCCAAGATGGAGCCTTGAGGAACCCCAAATGTCATATTTGTCAACTCGGATGTGAAGTTACCTATAGAAACAATGTTGTTCTTGTACTTTAAGTAGGATTCAAACCCATTTAGAACTGTTGCCGAAAGTCAAATCTGACCCCGAGTCACCCACAACAATGCTGCTGGGTCTTCCCAGACCCGAACACCAAATTATACACTTTTTTTTAGAGACCTTCAGACTTGGCTAAAATTGTAAAAAATCAGTTTTGTAGTATTTATATAGCTGTTGTGGAGGATATCATGAAGCCTTGTTCCGATAAAAAAAACTAGAGGGTAGTTATTATATCATTTTAACTTGAAACGGGTCACGGGAGACCCGAACACAACATAAGGGTCTCGATTTGAACTGACAATTTTAGGGTTTGTGTTATAAATGTTCTTTCTTGGATTAGTGAAGTGCAATACTTTAATCATTAATTTATTATGAACATTAAATAAAATGTCTCTGTAAATGGGCCCTGATCATAAAATGAATACCCAGCTCTGCACCTCAACGGCACATTAAAGCCTCTTTCAGCACTTTGTTTTAGTTTATGGCATAATTACTGTGTGGTTCAGTCTCCTCAACTACCAGCAAAAATCTCTGATATACGCTGTATACTTCCTGCCATGCACCAAACAGCAGACAGACAGAACCTAGCTGGATATATAAGCTAGATATATACCACACTGCTAATGTTGCTCCACGCATGCTGTTAGTGTTACACACATAAGGTTTTGGATTGAAAGATTCACACAAAAGCTACAGTGTAGTTGTTGGCAATGCAAATCTTAAATCCCGGACCCCGCCAACAGTGTAAGAAAAAATGAGATAAGATAAGTCTTTATTTATCCATTTGGGGACATTTCATTGTCATAGCAGTAACAGATTCAGAGTGAAGCATAGGCCATTACAGAATATATAAGTAAATATGTTAGTAAAACTAAGAATATAAATAACAAAAAATAAACAGTAAAACACCAAGTAGCTGAATTGATATACACACAGATATGAGTGAAGATCATTCTGGATAAATATATTCACATGGCTATGTTCAGGTATAAGTAGCAGTCCCAATATATGAAGAAATAAAGTAATGTTTTACGCTGGTGTTATTTACATTGCATCACGGAAATGAACAAACTGGACCTTTACACATGCATTAGTGGAGAGGTGTCAGAGCAAGAAGGCTCTGCATTTTAGTCGGATCAGGACTTGAACCGGCGACCCTTCAGTTGCCAAGCCAAGTCCCTACAGATTGACCTACTACCCTACCACCCTCTATAAGTAAACACTGTCCATGTAATATACTGTAGATGTACTGTAGTAGTTCATCAGGTCAGCCTGTTTTGAAATTGTATGCCCCCTTGTGGCCAAACACATATAACTGCTAGCTTTAAGTTGACTTCCCTGTTCTCTAACACCCCCTCCCTGCAGGTGTGGCTATGTGGAGGCAGTATGGAGGTGCTGCCTTGCTCCAGGGTGGCTCACATCGCCCGGATGAAGAAACCCTACCTCAGTAACATCGCTCTGCACACACGGCGGAACGCTCTGCGAGTGGCCGAGGTCTGGCTGGACGAGTACAAGTCCAACGTGTACCTGGCCTGGAACATCCCCATGGAGGTGAGGGCTGCTGGGCCTGTGGATGAAGCTAACCATGGTGGCTGCTAATGCTCTTTTATTTTAACATAAGCAGGACTTCGCTACAACTTGTTATAAACTGGGAATTGGTTGAATACTTTTTTTAAACCTCTAATCACCCTGAACAATTTGTAGATGTTGTACTCAAAATGTACCCCATTTCAATAAATTAAACTACTGCACACTTTATAATGTATTGATATATCATATTTTCATAGTTGATTTACGATCAACTTATTGTTTATATTTGTACATTGTGTCTTTATATTGTGTGCTCTATAGATATATCTTTCTATTCTTAATAAGCATATATTTACTGTCTTTTACATTTTTAATTATGTATTTTTTATGTTGCTGTTACAAGAACAAATCTTAATCCGGGATCAATTTAAGTATCTGTTATCTAATCTAATGAAATCGGATTTATCAAAATATTGTGCTAGTAATCAGTAGACAATAGCAACATTTCTGTTAAATGTTCTGGATCGTTATTACAACTGTTCATGTGGTAAACTGGTAAGTCCTCTGTAAAGCAGAGACATCCCATAATGACTGCTGTGCTCTTGCAGAACCACGGTATTGATTACGGAGACATCTCTCAGAGGGTGGCTCTCAGGAAGAGGCTGCAGTGTAAGAGCTTCGAGTGGTACCTGGACAATGTTTACCCAGAGATGAGGAGGTACAACAACACGGTGTTCTACGGAGAGGTGAGTCAGCACAAACAGGAAGGAGAAGCTTGGATGAAACAACCGAGAACAGATGAGTCCGAGATAGATTAGACAAATACATCCTAAGGGCTATTTAAAAGAACACCTCATAGATTATGTCCCTACATGCTGTCTGAGCTGTGCCATTTTAAAACTGTAAAGCAGTGTACAATGTTTTAAAATGTTTAATCTGCATTTGGATTCAGGTGTTTTTATCTTACTGATATGTACACAACATGCTGACTGACCTTACCTAATACTGTATCTCACACACAAGATTGATAATAAAGTTGACTTTTGACTTTGATTAGGAATTTAAACAAAGAATTGTGCCAAATTAGATAAAGTGGTGCAGTAATGACAAATTGATGTACTCCAAACAGGAAGTTAGCATCACAAGGGCACCCTCAACAAAAAGCAATGATTTTGGAATATTGCAGAACATTAGCTCTGTAGCAAACCAACTTATTTAGTTTATGATAATTACACATTTTGGAAGTGGTAAAATGCAGACTCATTATCGGTTGTTAAGACTTGTTCACCCATTACTCTATTGAGCATGATTTTCAAAGATGCTTTTTATTTTAGATTCGTAACTCCAACGCCAGCCACCTGTGTATGGATCAGGGTATAAAGGAGAACCACACGGCCACCCTGCACCCTTGCCACGGCACGGGGCCTCAGGTAACAGCGGACCCTCGACCTAATTGCCTCAGAGTGCCTCTCTCACCATGTCTCTGCTTCCTCTTCAAAACCTACACCACTCATTAGTGTCTTCCACACAGTGACATGATTTACAGCTGTGTCTCTCACACAGGCTGCAATGGAATCCTCTTAGGAGAGAGTTCTGCCGTCAGGAAGAAAATGTTCCCATGTTGCACTTTTTGTGCTGAAGTCAGCCAATGTCAGTGCTTCAGCCTGCGGGGCATCTGCTTTTAGCTCACAGTGGTCAACAAGTGCTAAAACTAGCAGACTATCAATATCACCCTGAAGACGCACTTAAGTAGGCAATTTCAAGTTTTCCATCTGAAAAAAGAGGTCCCTAGAGTATAACGTCTTATAAAACATGAGGTTAGACGTAAAATGTAACAGTTCAATCAGGAGAGACATGTTTTGATTTACCAAAATAAATGTATTACCAAGAATGCACAGATAAATGTAATGGTGTTTGGCGATTAGACCCCATGTGCGGCAGTGGGAGGGAGGGGAAGAACAGAGCCGATAAACACCCAAAATCCCTTTGAAAGTGTGCAACTTTAACATACGTTAAATAATTTTTTTTTATTTGATTGCACATTTTTACTTTTACTTACGCTTATATACATATTTAAATGATATTTGATTCATCTTTGACGTTTTACTCTAACATGCTAGTCTATATACATTTATTTTATTTGTTTTATCCTTATTAGCACATTTGTACTTTACATTTCATATTTGTATTCAATTTCAATGCACTTAATCTTTTATTGTGCATCTTACTTTAACTTGTTTCTTTAATTATGTTTATTTTGTTTTGCATATTCTTACTTGAATTTTTTTTATTTAACATAAAAATAAATTCTGTAAATATAATTGTATCTTTTATTGGACATTTTACTTTAACTTGTTGTGTCCTTTTACATTTTTTGAATTGAATCTGCATTTTGATTGCATGTTGTTACTTTACCATATGATTGTGTGTCCCCTCAGATAGGGCGGTTCACCAGGGAGGGCCAGCTGTTCCTGGGGCCCCTGGGCAGCACGGGGGACGAGACCCGCTGCGTGGTGGATGACCAGACCAGCAGTCTGCCTCAGCTGCTCAACTGTGACAAGGTGACCAACGTCAGGCAGAAGACCTGGCACTTCTCTCAGGTGAGGGGGAGAGGAAATAATGAAACAACAGATTGTTCTCCAAAAAGTTACATTTCAGTGATTTGTGCTCAAAAAGTTACACCGTAGAGAAAATACACAGAGCTGTTTTTGATGTATGAAATCAGATTAAATGTTTACCTTGTGGTCATGTTGTTGACACACCGACAACAGTTGGTAATAAATCAGCTCTCATGTTCATTTGTTTTCCTTAAAAAAACAAAACTGTAAAATTAAGAAATATGTGAATTACATTAGAATACTGTTTTTGTCAAGAAAATGTATCAACAGTTTTTTAACCATAACTGTGAAATTAGGCTATTTAGGGAAGCTGCTTTTTCTTTGAAGTTTTAACAATGACGTTTCATTCCTTAGTATATTTAGTTGATATTCCAGAAGTGCTAACCCTAGACTACCTTTCTGTTTCTACTGTGAATAGATTTGCTAAAGCCACATGTTACTGTTAGTTCAGCTTGTAAGAGACATTAGTGTGCACTTCACACTGAAACAGGAAGCTGTTCTTATTTCAATCTACACATTTGATTCTAAGCTACATTTACCTGCATAGCATTTTACCAATGACTGCTGCCTTCTTCCTTTCTTTTTGAACTGTTGCTCAAAGGATCTTTGTCTCTTACTGCTTTTTACATTGTCAGTCTGGGTAAACTGCATTTGTTCTCAATGTACAAAAGAACGACCTAAAAGCATTCTAGAGCGGTCATAAATAGAGCGGTCCTCTCAGACGTCTGACTGGATCAAGATTGGTGGCAGGAGATTATTATGTTATATTATAAATCAAATGTCTTTTTTTAAATAGCCTAATATCATGAAGTACATTTGTTTTGGCCTTTACAGTTTATACAGATTAACAACAGTGTGGAAAAAGAAGAAGAACAAAACCGGAATAAAATTACAACCTAGACAATCCAAAGGAACAAAGTGAATGTAAAATACAAAATAAAACATAAAATACAGTAAAATATAAAAAAACCATAGTATGACTTTAATTCATTAGAAAGTTTGTATGTGTACTGTGTACAGGTATACTGTATATGGTAGGTAGGACTAGGAATAAATATAAGTTGTATCGTAGGGTATGCCTTTAAAATGTAATGCTTTGAAAGTGTGATCGTATTTGGTAAATGTCATTCAGAAATGTTAGTGCAATTAAAAAATATAATGCAGATAAGAAATGTAATCACAAAAATAATAGCATAGTAGGCATAAACATTTCATTTAAATAGTCATAGTATATTATGTTTTAAAAAATATCACAATAGTATGTCGTATAAAACATAATGTTCATTTCATACATTTGATACATTAGCTGAGGAAATGAAATGAGGCATGGATGGGGTCACTTTCTTTCTCAGTCACATGGTACACTGATGAACGTCCTCCCTCTCCTCCACCACAGAATGACACCATCATAAACCGAGCGTCAGGGCGCTGTCTGGAGGTGGCCAGCAGCCGCCTGGTGCTGGGGCCCTGCTCCGGACAGAGGTGGCTCATCAAGAACACCATGAAGCAGTAGGGGCCAATACCCCCGGGACCCCTGACCCCAGGGGCCGTTAAGAGGCCCCTGAGATCTGCCTCTGCCAAGGCACAGCAGGCATCTCAATAAGTGACAGAGGAGACCTCTCAGTGATGCAAGGCTTGTGAAAAATTACGTTTCTTTACAAAGCGGACATTAAAAATAATGCAAGTTCAGAATGAGGACTGTATCTCTCCACCTGACCGACTTCTGATGTGACGTTGCCATAATTCCTGTGCCACGTTTTGTCTTATGTGGAGGAGAAATAAGGTTTTCTGCGTCTTCAAAATATGTGTGCATTGTTCCATTCTGTATCATGTAACGTCTTGGAGATATGTAAAAGAATAAAACCCCTGAAATTACATTTTCAGAAATGATCAGAATCCATCGTAGTTTGTAATGGGCTTCGTTAGTGGTTTTAATCTCAAGTTACCTTGAAATGAGGGACGCTGCATTACATTTTGAACATAAATGCCCCATAGTGATTTTTATAATCTTCTGAAGGGAGTATTGACCCGGTAAATATCTATAATTTGAAGAAAAAGGCATTAACAATTAATAATGCTTGTTCTATCAGAGCCTTATTGTTTTGCAGTTATTGTGAATCATAAAAAAAACTGGGCTGGATCATGGTTTAATATGTCGTGGATGTTTTTTTTTATTGTAATTTTTCCATTGGATAGCACCAAATGCAGTACATCTTGTAGCATGATTGTACGTACTGCACACGGGAAGAGGGCTGAAAACAGGCTGCAGACAGGAGGACTGCAGGACAATTATCTTCCAATAAACTACTGAATTCCAGTTTTTGCATGGTTACTGTTTCCCATAATAGAATGCTTTAATAAAATTCTAATATGGAGAAAAAAAGAGTTTCTGATAATGATACAATATTATTCAGTTAAAATAAAATAAACTGTTCTAAGCCTTGTTTTGGAGGTGACTTTAAGAGAACCTATTCTGCTTCTTGGGGTTCTCCCTTTCCTGTAGTGTGTTCTATAGGTTTTAGTGCATGTAAATGGTCTGCAAAGGATAAAATCTCTGTGTTCCCTCCTGAGGGAGTTTCTCTCCCACACACTCCCCCCCCCTGCCTCAAACGCCTCGATTGGACTCCTGTTTACTTCCATAACATAGTGACATCACTATTTAACACTTGCACTACTATTGGCTAGTACGGGGCGGGACATCTCTAAGTGGTTGACCAATCACAACAGAGCCAGCCAGCTAACCAATCAGAGCAGACTGGGCTCTGGTTTCAGACAGAGGGTGAAAAGAGGTGCTGCAGCACAGGCTGTATGAGAAAAATAAAGAGCTTTTTGAACATTAAAGCATGGAGACAGTGGCGTAACAAGGTTGTGATTGGCCCCCCCCATCGCCACAAACATAAGCGCACGCTGATAAGCTCACACATGCACGGACATACACTCTCTCTTGTCCTTTCTTTTTTGAGCGCCGCCCTTGTTCGTCATGCAAGGTATCACATGACATGAAAGGGAGCAAGGTCATTGGACAGACAAATTACAAATTAATTTAGGTTGCTTGGTTACTTTGAAGACTGCATGAACCGGTCAATGCATTGCACCGGCTGCACCGTCGATAGTTACGCCACTGCATGGAGACATGTCACAGTAGAGGGACAGAATCAACCCGGTATCACAGCAAGACGTGAACATGTGACGATCTACCATGCTGGGAGACGTGAATATGTCACGGTTTCGTCCCTTCAAACGTGACAGTTACACGGTATTGTTAACATGGCCCAGCCAGTGGAGAAATATCCGGAGGTGCCAAGCAAATGGTCTACCAAGACTATTGGTCGGTTTTTATTGTCAAAATTAGATGTTTTTAATTTATTTTTTAATCGTCACACTCGATTGCGCAGATTTTCTTGTTGCCCTAGCTGGTCGACACCTCTTTTTGTCACGGTTGAGTGCAGCAGGCAGGACCCAAATGCAGATTTCCAAGAATAATTCCTTTAATCCGGTACAAAGTAGAACACAGAACACTACCATGTGACACACAGTCAAATACAAACAATGAACCAACAATGACAGACAGAAAAACCAGAACTAAAATACACACAAGACCAATCACACAAACAAGACACAGGTGAGGGGGGAGGAGAAAACACAGGGGCACCAGGTGAACACAATCGGGCAATCAGGCAGGACAGGGGTGAACACTTTTCAAAACAAAACAGGAAACCAAAGACAGAAAAAGACAAGACAAAACCCAACACAGACAGATCGTAACAGTACCCCCCCCTCAAGGGACGGATCCCAGACGTCCCAAAAAGTCCCAAAAAGTCCAAAACATTCCAGCAGGGTGGGTGGAGGGGGTCTGGAGGAGGGACGCACAACCAGGACCAACAGGGTGGGTGGAGGGGGTCTGGAGGAGGGACGCACAACCAGGACCAACAGGGTGGGTGGAGGGGGTCCGGAGGACGGGCCCGGAAGGGGTCCCGGGCGGACGGCCCGGGAGCAAGGCAGAGTCCAAAAAGGGGCGAAGGCCACAGCGGGCGAACTCAGGGACCCGGGCATGAGAGCGAAGGCAGTGGTTGGGAGAGTCAGGAGGCCGGGCTCGAGGGCGAAGACCACGGCTGGGGTACTCAGGAGACCGGGCTTGAGGGCGAAGACCGCGGCACTCAGGGAGCCGGGCTCGAGGGCGAACAAGAAGACGTCTACGGGACAGCTCCGGAGAACGGGCAGGAAGGCGCCGACGGGACAGCTCCGGAGGCCGGGCAGGAAGGTGCCGACGGGACAACTCCGGAGGACGAGCAGGAAGACGCCGACGGGACAGCTCCGGAGGCCGGGCAGGAAGGCGCCGACGGGACAGCTCCGGAGGCCGGGCAGGAAGGCGCCGACGGGACAGCTCCGGAGGCCGGGCAGGAAGGCGCCGACGGGACAGCTCCGGAGGCCGGGCAGGAAGGCGCCGACGGGACAGCTCCGGAGGCCGGGCAGGAAGGCGCCGACGGGACAGCTCCGGAGGCCGGGCAGGAAGGTGCCGACGGGACAGCTCCGGAGGCCGGGCAGGACCCAGTATCGGCCGGACAGGAACCGGAGCCGACGGGACAGGCGTAGACGGGATCCTGAACATGACAAGGGCTGGTGTCAATGGGACCCCGGATGGAGCAAGGGCTGGTGTCGACTGGACCCCCAACGGAACAGGACACAGAGTTGGCAGGACCCCCGGCGGGACAGGTGTCGGCGGGACCCCCAACAGGACAGGATCTGGTGTTGGCAGGAAATCCGGCGTAGCAGGTGTCGGCGGGGCCCCCAACAGGACAGGACATGGGGTTGGCAGGACCCACAGCGGAACAGGTGTCGACAGGAAACCCGGCGGAGCAGCAGTCGGCGGGACCCCCAACAGGACAGAATCTGGGGTTGGCAGGGCCCACAGCGGAACAGGTGTTGGCAGGATCTCCAACGATACTGGACGTGGAGTTGGCAGGACCCTCGGCAGGAGAGTTGTCGGCGGGACCCCCAACGGGACAGGACATGGAGTTGGCAAGACCCCCGGCAGGAGAGTAGTCGGCGGGACCTCCAACAGCACAGGACATAGGGTTGGCAGGACCCCCGGCAGGAGAGTAGTCGGCGGGACCTCCAACATCACAGGACATAGGGTTGGCAAGACCCCCGGCAGAAGAGTAGTCGGCGAGATCCCCAACGGAACAGGACATGGAGTTGGCAAGACCCCCGGCAGAAGAGTTGTCTGCGGGACCCCCAACGGGACAGGACATAGGATTGGCAAGACCCCCGGCAGAAGAGTAGTCGGCGGGACCCCCAATGGGACAGGACACGGAGTTGGCAAGACCCCCGGCAGGAGAGTAGTCGGCGGGACCTCCAACAGCACAGGACATAGGGTTGGCAGGACCCCCGGCAGGAGAGTAGTCGGCGGGACCTCCAACATCACAGGACATAGGGTTGGCAAGACCCCCGGCAGGAGAGTATTCGGCGGGACCTCCAACGGTACAGGACATGGGGTAGGCGTCGGCCGTAGAGCCAACAGGACACGGGGGGCTGGCGTCGGCCGGAGAGCCAACAGGAGACGGGGTGCTGGAGTCGGCCGGACCACTGACAAAACACGGGGTGCTGGAGTCGGCCGGACCACCGACAGGACACGAGGTGCTGGAGTCGGCCGGACCACCGACAGGACACGAGGTGCTGGAGTCGGCCGGACCACCGACAGGACACGAGGTGCTGGAGTCGGCCGGACCACCGACAGGACACGGGGTGCTGGAGTCGGCCGGACCACCGACAGGACACGGGGTGCTGGAGTCGGCCGGACCACCGACAGGACACGAGGTGCTGGAGTCGGTCGGACCACCGACAGGACACGAGGTGCTGGAGTCGGCCGGACCACCGACAGGACACGGGGTGCTGGAGTGGAATCCACAGGTGGACTGGAGGAGGCAGGAAATGCAGCAGAAGACGTCAAAGTCGAGACCCGAGCAGCGAGGCCCGGGAAGCATAGAGCCAAGGACCGCTGGCTTTCCTCAAAGTCTCGCCACGCCTGCTCATGTTCCTGAGAAATGGCGTGCTGGAACGGAACAGAGGGCGGAACCATGGCTGCCGGGGCCAGAACTGGGGCTGGAACCATGGCTGCATGGGCCGGTTCTGGAGCCGGAACCATGGCTGTTGGGGCCAGAACTGGGGCTGGAACCATGGCTGTGTGGGCCGGTTCTGGAGACGGAACCATGGCTGCTGGGGCCTGTACTGGAGCCCAAAGCATGGCTTCTGGGGGTTGGGCTGCTAGCCTGGACTTGCGACTCCTTCTCCTAGGAGCCTTTTGGAGGCTCCGTGGACCTCCAAAAGCCAGACGAGTGCCCGCGAACAGCTCCTGGACAGGAGCAGGAAATGGGGAAGAAGCAGGGGTTGACTTCAGACGGAACACACCGAGATGTATGGTGTTAGGTTGGGAGTTGGGAGGCAGGGGGCTAGCATGCCTGGGGCTAGCAGGCCGGGAATCACACGTCGACAGGAAATCCAAAATCCAGTCAGGTAAGAACTTAACTAAAGATGGATCACCTGCTGCCACCTGGTGAGCCTCTGCCAGAGCAGCCTCTCTCTGCTGAACACTGGACGCTCCCCTCCACCTACTATAGCAGCAAGCCAAAGAAAAGGTAAAATGTTGTAATTCCACCTCAAATGGATCTGCTGGGCCCATTTCTGGTTGGTTCATTCTGTCACGGTTGAGTGCAGCAGGCAGGACCCAAATGCAGATTTCCAAGAATAATTCCTTTAATCCGGTACAAAGTAGAACACAGAACACTACCATGTGACACACAGTCAAATACAAACAATGAACCAACAATGACAGACAGAAAAACCAGAACTAAAATACACACAAGACCAATCACACAAACAAGACACAGGTGAGGAGGGAGGAGAAAACACAGGGGCACCAGGTGAACACAATCGGGCAATCAGGCAGGACAGGGGTGAACACTTTTCAAAACAAAACAGGAAACCAAAGACAGAAAAAGACAAGACAAAACCCAACACAGACAAATCGTAACACTTTTAGCAGAAACAAAGGCTACATTAATGTATTAAATCGATGTTAATCCATGTGTGTGGATCATAGACTGTGGCCCAGGCTCCAAGGGAACGCATACGGCAAAACGCATAGGATTAACGCAAACGCAAACGCCAAAAAGCTTCCGCCCACACGCAATATACACCGGATTGTGTCTTGCTACACGAGACAGCTCCGTTTAGATCCAACCGCTGGAAAAGCTGCAGTACATATGCCGAGCCTGTACGTGGCGCTGTAACTTCCTCCACAAAAGCAGCAACTTCCTCCACAAAAGCAGCGAAGAAGAATGGTTGTCATGGCTGCACTTCTGTTTATTCTCCGCGGTGGGGGCGGAGGGAACCGCGCAGAGTTTTTCGCCGGTCAACGTGTGTTAAAGTTTAAATCTTCATGCT